GCCTCCATCCTTCTTGCCTGAAGCCCTGCTAGCCGGCCGTGCTGACCTCACGCCCATGCTTCAAGATCTTTCCTTTCTTGATCAACCGCCTCCTCTGCCACCCTTCCCTGCACCCCCGCATCCTCTCTCGTCTCCTCCTCCCTCCATTCTGGTCTGCGGCCCTGGCCGCGTGGAATCGCCGCCTGCCCCGGGCAGGCCGCCCACCCTCCCCGTGTGGCTGCTCTGGGCTCTGGGCCCCCAAGCAGGTCCCCACCTTGCTCTGCCCACCCGATACCTCAGGTCCAACTTGCTCAGGAACCCCCCGATTTACGTCCACCCAGAACTTGCCAATGTGGCCTTCTTTGGAAATAGGGGCTTTGCCGATGTAATCAAGTTGAGACGCGGTGTCCCGGAGTAGGGTGGGCCCCGATCCACCATGACAGGCGTGCCTACAGGAAGAGGGACATACGGACACGTAGCACGCGGAGACAGAGGGAGACCGAGTGACGCGGCTACCGGCGAGGAATGTCGCGTGCTGGCGGCCGGGCCGGCAGGGCGCGGACGGACCCCCGGCAGAGCCTGTGGAGGGACCTGAGCCTCCCAGCAGCTCCACGTGGGACCTGTGGCCTCCAGACCTGTGGCAGCAGGAGCTCCTGCCGTTTCAAGCCGCCTAGTCGATGGGCTTGGTGACGGCGGCCCCGGGACACGAAAACCAAGAAGAGGAAAAGACGAGTCTATTTCCGAAGGCTGCGCCCTGGCTCGGCAGCGACCTCCTGCCGCGCCTGTTCCTGTTTCTGTGCGACTGCGGCCGCCGCCGGCCTCGCCCTTCCTCCTCGGACGGTAACGTGAGGCCTTTAAGGACCTTTTCCCTGTCAGTCTCAGGGGTTTTAAAATGTTACGAATAGACGTGTTTTTCTCTGTGCTCCATTCTGTTCGAATGATGGGATGGCGTCTTTCCTTGATTTTCAGAAGATTTTCTCAATCGCCTCTTGGAAATGTTTCTTCTTCTCTTTCTCCCGTCTCCTTCCGGGACCTGCCTACACGTCAGAGGCGGGCAGGGTGCCCTCCCGCGCGTCGACGCGCTGCTCTTTACCCAGATGTGTTCCCGAACCCAGCTTCTGGCTCCCGGATTCCTTTTCTCCCCTCATTTCTTTATT